TTAGGGAGTGAGTCTAGAACCTCAAAGGAACTAGGCCTGAGCCAGGACCACTGCAGGTCTAGGTGTGAGTCTGGGACCTCTGAGAGAATAGGCCTAAGCCAGGACCTCTGTGGGTCTGGGTATCAGGCTGGGATGTCAAAGGGAATAGGCAGGAACCAGAAATCCCCATGAGTCCAGCTGTGAGTGTGGGATCTCTGAGGGAGTAGACCTGAGTTATATCCTCTGGGGGTCTGGGTGCATCCAATCTGGGATCTCAAAGGACTAGATCAGAGCCAGAGACATTTGCAGGACCAACCCCAAACCAGGGTCCTCTGCAGGAACATATTCAAACCAGGGATGTTTACAGAAACAGGTCTGAGCCTACAACCTAGGCCAGAGCAAACTCTATGAGAGCTGTGGAAAGCCTAGGACCACTGAGAGACCTCCAGAAACATGGAGTAACTAATGGGGTAACTAGAACTGTGGCACTGACTGTACCATGAGGAAAAACCATCGATGGGAGCCTTGGATTCAGTGGCACCTAGAAGATTAATCACCAGAATCACAGATAGCCCCAAACACACCTATTAGAGGAAAAGATGAGTAGACAAGGTAAGAACACTTGCAATACCACAAAGAGTAACACAACACCAGTAAAAGACTTGAATAAACAAATACAGATGAAGCAGAAGAAAATGACCTAAAAAATAACTTCAGGAGTATGTTTGAAACTCTTAAAGAGGAAATGAGAAATTCCCTCAAAGAAATAAAGGAAAAGACAAAAAATGAAAGACACTAGCAAATCCTTAAAGAAAACTAAGAAAAAAACAATCAAACACATGAAAGAAAATATTCAAGACTTGAAAACTGACAATATAGAGACAACAAAGAAAACATGAGCCAAGGGAATTATGGAAACAGAAATCATGAAAAAACATTCAGAAACCACAAACACAAGCATAAACAGCAGAATACAAGAGATGGAAGAGAGAATCTCAAGCGCTGAAGATACAATAGAGGAAATAGACTCATCAGTCAAAGAAAACATTAAATCTAACAAAAGCTTAACTAAAAATATCCAAGAAATATGGGACACCATGAAAAGATCAAACCTAAGAATAATAGGTATAGAAGAAGGAGAAGAGGTTCAACTCAAAAGCACAGAAAATATATTTAACAAGATCATTGAAGAAAATATTCCCAACCTAAAGAAAGATACGACTATGAAGATACAAGAAGCATACAGAACACCAAACAGACTGGATAAAAAAAAAAGTTTCCTCACCACATAATAATCAAAATACTAAACATACAGAATAAAGAAAGGCTATTGAGAGCTGAAAATGAAAAAGGCCAAGTAACATAAAAAGGTAGACCTCTCAGGATTACTATTGACTTCTCATGGGAGACAATGAAAGCCAGAAGGTCATGGTCAAACGTTATGCAAACATTAAGACACCAAGGATGCCAGCCTACTATACCCAACAAAACTTTTAATCACCATAGAAGGATGAAACAAGATATTCCATGACAAATCTAGATTTAATCAATATATAGCCACAAACCCATCCCTATACAAAATACTAGAAAGAAAACTCCAACCCAAGGAATTTGACTACATCAACAAAAACACAGACAATTGATGATTTCACAGTAGCAAATCCCAAAGAAGGGAAAAGCACACAAATTAATATTCCAACAACAAAAACTAAATTAACAGGAGATAGCAATCATTGATCATTAACATCCCTTAATATAAATGGGCTTAACTCACCTATAAAAAGACAAAGGCTAACAGATTGAATATAAAAACAGAATCCATCCTTCTGCTGCATAAAAAAAACACCTCAACCTCAAAGACATACATAGCCTCAGAGTACAGGATTGGGAAAATTTTTTCCAATTAAATGGACCTAAGAAACAAGATGGTGTAGCTATCCTAACAAAATAGACTTCAAACTAAAATCAATCAAAAGAGACAAAGAAGATTTCATCTTAGTCACAGAAAAAAATCCATCAATAGGAAATCTCAATACAGAACATCTATGCCCCAAATACAAGGGTACCCTCATATGTAAAAGAAACACTTCTAAAGCTTAAATCATATATTAAACCCCATACACCAATAGTGGGAGACTTCAACATTTCACTCTCGCCACTGAACAGTTCAGTCAGACAAAAAATTAGCAGAGAAATAAGGGAACTAACAGATATTATGAATTAAATGAACTTAATAGACATCTATAGAATATTTCATCCAAACTTAAAACAATATACCTTCTTTTCAGCACCTCATGGAACCTTCTCAAAAATTAATCACATACTCGATAACAAAACAAACCTCAACAAATACAAAAAAAAATTGGAATAACCCCATGATCCCCATGGTGATATCAGATCGCCATGATTTAAACTAGAATTTAACAGAAATACTAATTCCAGAAACCCCACAAACACATGGAAATTAAACAATGGACTCATCTTTTTTGTACCATTTTTATCAAGAGCAAGCTCAATCTGATTTTCCTACTTCTACATCTTCCATTGGTCTTCAGCAATGGTAAAGGCTCTGTATTTGCTGAACAGTGCATATAACATGGTATACAAAAAGAATTTGGATTCCTTTGTCTTCCATTTTTGCTTGCTTGTCCTTTTGATTTAGCATTTTCACAGTGCCTAATGTATTGAATAAAAAAGCATTCACAAGGTGTGTTGATTTCACTGGCAGCTATTTGCTGAATTCTAGTTGTCCCTGGTGATTTCAGCTGAGGCAAATAATGGAGGAGGGTCATCTGTCTATGTGTACTTTCATTGGTTAATAAAGAAACTACCTTGGCCCTTTGATAGAACAGAAAATTAGGTAGGCAGACTAAACAGAACAGAATGCTGGGAGGAAGAAAGCAGTGAGGCAGTCACCATGACTCTCCTCTCTGAGACAGATGCAGGTTAGGACCTTTCCCGGTAAGCCACCACCTCATGGTGCTACACAGATTACTAAATATGGGTTAAAGCAAGATGTGAGAATTAGCCAATAAGAGGCTGAAAATAATGGGCCAGGCAGTGTTTAAAAGAATACAGTTTCCATGTAATTATTTTGGGTGTAAAGCTAGCTGGGTGGGCAGTGGGAAGTGGCCCACCGTTCCTTTTACAGAGTGGCACCCAACGTGATAACTAAATCCACTTAAAAACCTGAGAGAGCTTAAAAATAAGGGAAAGAGAGTTTAACAAAGATTTTGCTGTTTGCTAGGGCATGCTGTAGAGAGATTTCTTGTTTCAGCATTAGCAGCAGAAAAAAAAGCTGCACCATTTTAAAACGTGGCTTCCTGGGTCCTGCCGCCAGTGCAAACTCCAGCTATGGAGCATTTCTGGGCCCGGACGTTTGTGTGCCCACTCAGGGTTGGGAACAAAGTAGCTGAGACCATGCCTGTGGTTCAGCTCTTCCTGCCTGTGTAGGCAGTGGGATCAGGTCTACTAGAAAGTGGAGGTTTTGAAATACCAGTTTCTGGGCTGTGCCGCCATCGTGATCTCTGTTTGGCTCCAGCGGGAGACAGAGCTTTTGAATGGAACATTTGGAGTAATGTGCTACAATTTGTTTGATTGCCACTAGACTCACTGTGTGCCTAAAAGGGGGTCATTGCATGCTGCGGCTCAGAGGCACAAGCAGTTCCGCCATGCTAGCAGTGCAATGTGCAAGGTTCAGAGGCACAAGCAGCTCCACCATGTTGGGCCGGGTGGGGCAAACAGGCAGTACCTGTTTTTGACCTAGAAATGTCACAGCTTAGATTCTTAACTGCTTAGTGATTTAAAAATGCAAAACAAAAATGCTCCTAGAGAGTAAAAAATTATAGATTCACAATAGGGCAGATTCAGACATAAAAGACCTCTAAATGGGTCATAGCGCTACATAGAGTTAGACATACATAGGCTTAGGAGAGAAAAGAAAAAGAATATAGAAAATAAAGTTAATGCCTTAAAAAAAGGGTAAAGTCTTTAAAGAGACAGAGTACAGGTAGTACTCTGATTAAAAGAAATAAAGAAAAATAAGCCACGTAAAAATGGAAAATTTACCGAGAGATTGGATTCTGTATATTGTATTTTCTTTGAAATTTTTGGCTGTGAAGGAACTAAATACAAAGAGACATTTCATTGTATGGGCTGCTATGCTGATCCAACATGTATGTTCTAAAGGTATCATGACTTCCAAATTTGGGTCTAAGGATATGATGCTTTGGAAAGGGTCCTCTTTTGCTTTCACAGAGGATGAGACCCTGTGGATTGTTTCTATCCCAATGTGGTATGATAGACCATGTCCTCCTGAAAGGTTGCTGTGAACACCCTCAAGAAATGAGTTTGCTCAACTGCCAACTGAGATGAATCTAGCACACAGGTTATATCATGAAAGACCTGAATAACAGTGCCCCCATTCAGCAGGAAGCAGTTTGGAGAGAAATAACTGTGACAATGTTCCCAGATATTGTTTGTAAATGTTCTTTTACATTTAAAGGGGGATATTATATAGATATGAATAATTTGCATTGGTATGGATTTTTAAGGTCAATTTTGTTATATGTATATGTATTTCTGATATTGATTAAGGTATTGTGATTATATAGTTCATTTTAAAATGTAATGTAGAATTAGGAAATATAGGTTGTTAATGGATAATCATCAATAATAGTCAAGCTTGTAGTCATGTTAGTTAGATTTTCTAGATATATAGAAATATATTTCAGTTAGATAGGCATTCTTCATATCTTTCAAAGACTACAGAATATGGAATTTTAAATGTTTTAATAGCTTAGGGCTTTTCATGACAATGAGACACGTCTACTCATGGCAGCACCAGCTACTTCAAGAGGAAGATGGACATCGAAGAGGCTCCTTATGGAGTTGGTTAGCCATTTGGACAAGAAACTGCTCTTGCCTTGACTGGTTTGGGTTACCTCATATTCCAATGAAGGAAAGAACACCGTTTTTTAAAGATTTAATTTTATTAATGTCTATGTTTATATTTCTGTGTATGTACAACATGTCTATGCAGGTGTCTGTGGGAGACAGAAGATAGTATGAGACTTCCTGAAGATGGAGGTTCTAAGAAACCTGATATGAGCACTGGAAACCAAACTTGGGTTCTCACAGAGATTATCAAGCTTCCCTAACCACTGGGAAATATTTCTAACTCCCTAAAGATTTTCTCAATAAAGAGTGGAGTTTAAGATTTTATGAAGAACCATAACTAGAGCATTGATGGTTTTAAGTTGTCAGTTTACAGAATGGAAAATTAAGATTTAGGAATTTAACTGTCAATAAGTAGTTCATCATATGAAGTAAAACCTTGAGACCAGAGGACCTGAGAAATGAAAAGAACAATGACAGTCTAGTCTTCTCATGTGTATCCTACAGAGAGATTCACCCAATCTTCTAGGGCTTTGGGAACCTGATAACAAAATCTCTGATCCACTGTAGACTTCAGGGCAAAACTGTGATCATGATAAGATCCCCAGGGATATGTAGCTCCATTAAAACTCAGCATTCACCATCATGTGAGAACATAATGAAACCACGGGTTTTTCTGCAAAGAAAAAAATAAGGGAGATCAAAAATGGCTGAAGAAATTATTGAAAGATGACTTCAAACTCCTTGAGAATTGTGCCATGAAGTTTCAAAGGGGAAAAACTGAATAGGAAACATTAATTTCTCCTTTTATGAGCAACTAAACCCTGACTGCTCCCAGCATCTGCACACGTCCTGCTGTGGGTATACTGGACCATTTCTACTGCCTCAGCTCTGCCTTAGTCGTGGAGCTTGCCCAGACTCAAAAAACGGAAATCATGACGGGTTGTTAGTAGGCCTTGAGAAAGACATGATAATTAAAGGATTGTGACCTGGAAAAGCCTTTGAGACCATATGAAATAAATTAACAGAAGAACTAGTTATACATGAGACACAGCTATGTGATCACAGAGCACAAAGCACGGGGATATTGGACAGAGGGATCCTAGAGCATCCTGTGGTGTAGAATCTTCCATGGAGATCGGGGGATAGGAGGATGCTCCCAGCGAGTTTCTTGCTAGCCTGATAGATTGCAGACTGCAACAGAGATCTATTGAGCACCAGCTTTGGAATTATTTCATAATATTTGTACATTTGATATTAAGAATTCCTAATAATTAAGTTAATTGATTTGTTTGTTTGCACAATGTTCAACACAATTCTATTCTAAAGTCCCAAATAGAAAAGCCACTTTCAGAAATCATAATATTAAAGTGAGGAACACATGTTTCTATGCCTTTCATAGCACATTGGTTTGGTAGGGGCATTTTTTTCTGAGTATTATGAGCATGGAACATCACTAACACAAATTTAAGATTTTGCTACTAAGTCTTCATTGCTTAGGAAGAAATTATATTGAGAATGATATTCTTACCTGTATGCAATACAGAAAATGCATATGTTACCATAAGTACGGCCATTGGTTCCACAGACTGGAATATACTCTTTGCTACAAAATCCTAGAGGTTCATACGTAGCACAATGTCGCTACAACACACAAAGATATCGTAAATGTATTAGAGCATAGGCTGTTGAATAACTGTTCATACTCGTAGCATGTAATGTCACACAAAAAGTATAAATATCATCTACACATAGATATAAAGAACATATAACATATATAAAAATGGGAAAATAATTATTACATTTATATATTTATAGTTTTATGCCTCTACTAAATAGAACACAACACAACACAGCTAGTGTAACATGATCTGTAAGGCTGCCAACTCACATTGAAACATCTGTGCTTCCCCACCAGACATTTCCTTCAGCCCATCACCAAATTTAACTTTTGATTGATTATTCTCTCATTACTCTGTAATTTCTCTGCAATTCAGTGCACACCTTTACTGTATATTTACATGAAAGTACATCTCATTTATGCTCATGTTAATAAAAACACATGATCAGTTTTAGATACTATGGTAATTTATTAAAAGAAATCAATGCTATAAATGTTATATATATTTGACTTAATTTTCATACATTCTGGTGACATATATGCCACAGATATATTAATATTTAGAAGGACAATTTATTTATTTTCAAATTTAACATTTATTTTCGAAATAACATTCTACAATGTGTGTATATGGAAGGCACTGCTTTTGATCTTAACCACTGAACTGTACCCCCACTGGGCTGTATAGATATTGAATTATATATCTGATTATCAATGGCTGGAATTTGGAATTAGGATACTAACTGTTAAACTTTGTATCAATAATAAGTTGCCCAGAGCTCTGAGAGTCCAGTTGAAAAGAAGGAGGAGGGATAATGTGAGCAAACTGGGTGAAGATCAAGACAGGGAAACCAGCAGAGACAGCTGACCTAAGCTCGTGGACTCTGGATCAACAGCTAGGGAGTCAGCATAGGACCCACCTATGCCCTCTGTCTGTGGGTGACAGTTGTGTAGCTTGTTCTTTCCTGGGGACCACAGCAATGGGACCAGGACCTGTCCCTGATGCTGGCTCTTTTGAAACCTGGTCCCTAGAGTAGGATGCATTGCCCAGCCTTGATGGGAGAGGGAGGAGGTTGGTCCTGCCTTGACCTGATATGCCATGCTTTGCTGACTCCCATGGAAGGCTTTACCCTTTTTGAAAGGAGAATGAGGAGGAGTGGTTGAGTGTAGGGATGAAAAGGAGATGGAAAAGGGAAGTAGAGAAGGCAGAGGAAACTATGGTTGGTATGCAAAATAAATTTTAAAAAAAGATACTCATTCTCACATCTTGCATCAATAATAAACTGACTTGCAGATCAGGATTGCTGTCTTGAACTTATGGTAAGAAAATATATCATTTTTCAACTTTAGAAGACTATTTTCTTTAGTAAGTTTTACATTAAATTACTCAGTTTAGAAACAAAGAACATTTTACATTTTAAATTTCCGGATGAAATGATAGTAACTTACGTGTATAGGAAATGCATATTTTAAATGGGAACTTTCTGAAAACAAAACAGAAGACAGATAAAATGCGTTAAACAAAAACCTTGTTCATATTTTTTTTGTAAGCAGTAACTACATTTACATGTAGCACACATCTATGTGAATTGTCGGCACTATAAGGAATAGATGAGAATTTTGTGTTAGTTGTAAAAAATAACTAAAAATACATGCAAACGCAGAAAATTCTAATTCACAGATATATATGTATATCTGGAAAAAGCTGTCTTTTATACTGCTCTCATATACAAAAGTATCAGCTTCCATTTGTTAACAGACCTGGATATATTAATTTTATACAATTATTAAGTGAAATATCCTGAATTCAGAATTCAAAATATCTTTCAAGTATTCACTTGACTTGAAAAAAAATTTAATCAGCTGTAATTTCAATGTTCTAAGCAATATTTCACAAATGCCTCATTTTGAATTTCACGACCAATCTTGAACTGATAGTTGATAAAACATCCCCTAAAGTTGGCCTTAACTAAGACAGTCTAAAGCTGTCAAATAAACAGCGTCTTCAAAGAATGGCATATTTAAAGATATTAGTCTGTCCTCTCTCAACTTTGCATTTGACAACAGGATTTAGTGAGAAATCTGGAGGACAAATGACCAGAGATTGAAAGCCTGCCCAGCCTGTCCTAACCCACTGCTCTCTTCAAACTTCTCCAAGTGGACTAGTCAGAAAAATCCACTGCTGTCACTTTAGAGACATTCCTAACATGACCAATTGAAGGACTACAACCCCAGTGAGACAAGCTCATTCAATCATTTCTGGTGTTTCAGAGGTTTTACTCCCTGAGGTTTTTTAGAGTTTGTTTAAGGTTCTCATCTAGTACAGCAAAATATACTCACCAGAACAAAGAAGAAAGGACAAGGTGATGTACATAACTTGAACTCCTGAGAAGCCCAACATTTTATGAAAGATACGCAACAAACTTTGGAATGTCAGTAAACACGGTACCTTTGACATGAAACAAAAAAAAAAGACAACAACCAGAGATCCGTTGACAGAGATGCTTGATTCCGAGGAGACTATCTATCCACCCATATTCCTAATTAAGGTAAAGTTCCCTTTCTCTGTTTCTAAAATATAATTCAACAATGTCTAAAAATATAATCAGAGAACAACCAGAGATTGAAAGTTATAGAGAGCTAATAAATAAATAGGTAAATAAAAAATTATCAAATCAAAGTGGAAAAATACTAACAGAGAATATCTTCTCATTTGTGTGTGTGTGTGTGTGTGTGTGTGTGTGTTTGTGTGTGTAAGAGAGAGCAGGAGAGGAAAAAGATACATTTAAATCTATATTTTCTTTTTTTAAAAAAAAAAGGCTCCTTTGTCATTATTTTAGGAAGGGCACTAACCTAGAGAAGTCCTCACAAGGCTACATCTCCAGGAGACCCACGTGATTAACCTCACACAGAGATGTTTGGTTTAAGGACAACAGTTCAGAGGCTGTGGCTGTTTTGTCCGTTCCAATGTTCACTTTTATTTCCCCACTCAGAGTTTTCCAGAGAAGTCTCCAGTTCATCTATGAGTGATGGGCTTTATGGGCTGAGAGGATTGCACAGGGAAGATAAGGCACGGAGACGTGGTGTTCTCTCTCCAGAGGTCGTAAAGCAGGTCATGAGTGAAGCCTGTCTTCAGCAGATCTTTCCTTGGTTGGAGACGCAGGGACAGTTTGTCCTCATGAACTCATAAGTGCTAAAAGAATGAAGTGCTCAATTAATCTAAGAAAAGGAAGAAATATCAATCTCTTCCAAATAAATGAGTTGTAAGAAGAAAAGAGAATCAAGGAGAAAAAATGAGATTGACAATGACAGATATGGGAACAGGTTATTAACTTTTTAAATGGATATGTGCTACAATCACAGCAACCTTCTAACAATGGTGATGTCATTGATCAGCCGTCTGTCAAAGTGGTAAACTGATGGTTAGGAGAAAAGGCCTGAACAGCACAGGGCCAAATGCTCCCCTGGGAGTCTCGTCTAGAGCCTAGTTTAAGGACACTCCCCCAAAACAGAATTCAAAAGTACAGAGCAGAAGAGAGCACAGGCTGAAGAAAAAAAACTATCCTGTCATCTTTGTTAATTGTTTCTCTCTAACGTTTCTACAGCTATGCACACTACGAATGGATTCTCTCTGTGCCTGGCCTGAGGCACCCTTTCCTAGTGCTGTGCTTCTTTATCCTTGAGTACATAAGGACACATGTCAAAATAATGAAGAAGCACTTACTTGTAGTCTGTATGTCATTAAATCTAGAACATTAAAAGTATAAGACATGGACTTGTATTTCTATCTCTTACTTGAGGGAGATCTCAAACTGAAGGTTTTTTTAACTGAAAGTAAAATTTTAATACAATATGTCCTGATTTCGGTTTCCTTTCCTCCTAGGTCCTCCTCAAGGTACCCTCTTACCAGAACCCGCATGCCTATTTTCTCTCTATCTAAAAAAGAATGTTAATAAAATATAATCAGATAAAATTTTTAAAAAATCATCCCGAGTGAGGTAATCCAGACTCAGAAAGACAAATATGGTATGTACTCACTCATAAGTGGATATTAGATGCAAAGTAAAGACTAACCAGACAACAAATCACAGTTGCAGAGAAGCAGGTCACAAGTAGGACTCTAAGAGGGACCCATGGGAAGGAGATTGAGAGATGAGATCTCCTGGTTAAACTGGGGAAAGACAAAGAATGAAAGGGAGGGGGAAGGGACTGAGAATAATGGGAGGGAGTGGTTCTCCAATTTTTCTGCTCTTGGGACCCTTTTCCTCCTATATTGGGTTGCCTCCCCCAACCCTCATATGAGGATTTGTACCAAATTTTATTGCATGGCTTAAATGGTAGCCCATCTCTTACTTTCCTTCATTTCCTTTGCACACATTCTCTTAAATTTAGTCCATTTCAGATAAAGGGGAGACCCACCACAGATGATGGAGAAAGAGTCACAATCACTACCTCAGCAAGGATCAGAGACAGTATACTTCCTGCCCCAGTGTGCTTGCTCCTGTGAGCAGCAGACTTGTAGTGGAGGCATTAGTTTAAACGTTAGCTGAATGAAGTCTAGTCAAAATCTTTAGATCACAAGCCAGCGCTTCAGTGAGGATACGTTTGATGCCCTTCAGGCAGTGGGTCTTGATACGGGGGGAGGATAGACTAGTGTCTCTGAGGTTCTGGAGGAGGCAGAAAGGAGATGCACTTTTCCACTCTAGAAACCCCGCTTCGGCCTCACTTTATGAGTCATTATGTTGTAACCACAGAAGTAGGGATAATATTGTTACTGAGAACATAAACAAAAAAAAGAGAGATTACAGATAAATAGAAATATCTTCTTGGCTCTCTCCTGCTACGCCATCCCAACTTTCGGCCTCGAACCCCTCCCGTCCTCTCTCCCTTTTTCGGGGCTTAAATTCCTCCATCTCAGCCTGGGTGGGGACCAAGGGCCGGGGCAGGCGGTGAGTACAAAGGGACGGGAGTCCCTTTGTTCTGATAGCCGGCCTGCAGCAAGCTAAGACCGCAGGCACGGAGTCTTCTGACCAGCGAGGGGCTCTGATCCTGTGGAGGGGTGAGTGTGTTGACCGCCATACAATTCCGGTTAGGTACACACGGTATTCCCGCCATCCTGGTCTCCCTGGCTGCTCCATAGGGGCAGCTTCCCCCAGCTAATCCCTCTCTCCTGCTACGCCATCCCAGCTTTCGACCTCGAACCCCTCCCCTCCTCTCTCCCTTTTTCGGGGCTTAGATTCCTCCATCTCAGCCAGGGTGGGCACCACGGGCCGGGGCAGGTGGTGAGTGCAAAGGGAAGGAAGTCCCTTTGTTCTAAATAGCCTGCCTGCAGCAAGCTAAGACTGCAGGCAAAGTGATTCCTGGATAGCAAGGGACACTAATCCAGTAGAAGAAGACCCAGCTGAGGGAAGAGCCATTGGAGAGCATCTGAAGGAAGAGATGGGCAGGCGCCAAGGCAAGAATTCCTCCAACAATCTGAAAAACAACATGAAAACACCAGATCCCAGCGATCTTACAACAGAAGGACTGGAACGCCCTATTCCGGAAGAAGTGGAAAACAGTGTCATTATGAAAGCAATAGAGTCTCTTAAACAGGCTATGAATAACTCACTTAAAGAAATAGAAGACAAATATAACAAAAAGATGGAAGAAATGAGTAAAGAAATGGAAGACAAATATAACAAAAAGGTTGAAGAAATGAGTAAATTCGTAAATGATACCCTGGGAAACCAAGAAAAAGCAATCAAACAGGTAATGGAATCAGTTCAAGAATTGAAAACTGAAATGGAGGCAGTGAGGAAAAAACAATCCGAGGGCCGGCTGGATATGGAAAATCTAGGTAAACGAACGGAGACTACAGAATCAAGCTTAACCAATAGATTACAAGAGATAGAAGAACAAATCTCAGATTATGAAGACACCATAGAGAAAATAAACGCCCTGACCAAAGAAAACAGCAAATCCAACAAATTCTCATCACAAAACATTCAGGAAATATGGGACATAATAAAAAAAAAACCAAATCTAAGAATAATAGGAGTAGAAGAAGGAGAAGAATTGCAGATCAAAGGTCCAGAAGATATATTCAACAAAATTATAGAAGAAAACTTTCCCATCCTAAAGAGGGATATTCCTATGAAGGTGCAAGAAGCATACAGAACACCAAATAGGTTGGATCAGAAAAAAACATCCCCTCGCCATATAATAATCAAAACACAAAGCAGTCAGATTAAAGAAAGGATATTAAGAGCTGCAAAGGAAAAAGGTCAAGTAACATATAAAGGTAAACCTATCAGACTTACACCAGAGTTCTCTAAAGAAACCATGAAAGCCAGAAGGTCCTGGATAGAGGTACTGCAGAAATTAAGGGACCATGGATGCAAACCCAAACTACTTTACCCAGCCAAGCTTTCGTTCACTATCAACGGAGAAAACAAAATATTCCAGGATAAAAACAAATTTAAACAATACGTAACTATTAATCCAGCCTTACAGAGAATACTAGAAGGAAAATTACATCCCAAGGAATCCAACATTGCCAACACTGACTACAATAATTCAGACATTTAGCGACCCTTCACTAGCACAATTCAAAGAAGGAAAACTCATACAGTCTATTACCCCCCCAAAAAAATGACTGGAGTCAACAACCAATGGTCATTAATATCTCTTAATATCAATGGACTCAATTCACCTATAAAGAGGCACAGACTTAGAGATTGGTTACGAAAACAGGATCCAACATTCTGCTGTTTACAAGAAACACACCTCAACCACAAAGACAGACACCTACTCAGAGTAAAGTGTTGGGAAAAGGTTTTCCAAGCAAATGGACCTAAGAAACAAGCGGGTGTGGCCATTCTAATATCTAACAAAATCGACTTCAAACTAAAATCAATCAGAAGAGGTGGAGATGGACATTTCATACTCATAACAGGAACAACTCATCAGGAAGAAGTCTCAATCCTGAATATCTATGCCCCTAATGTAAAGGCACCCACATATGTAAAGAAATTCTCCTAGAACTCAAGGCAGTCATCAAACCACACACGCTAATAGTAGGAGACTTCAACACTCCTCTCTCACCAATGGACAGGTCAATCAGACAGAAACCAAACAGAGAATTAAGAGATTTATTGGAGGTATTGAATCAAATGGACTTAACAGACATCTATAGAACACTCCACCCAAATAGGAAAGAATATACCTTCTTCTCTGCAGCTCATGGAACCTTCTCGAAGATTGACCACATACTTGGTAACAAAGCAAACTCCCACAGATACAAAAAAATATTAGTAACCACCTGTGTCTTGTCAGATCACCATGGATTAAAATTAGAATTCAACAACAATGCTACACCCAGGAAGTCAACAAACTCATGGAAGTTGAACAGCAACCAACTAAAAAAACACCCCTGGGTCAGGGACGAAATTAAGAAAGAAATTAAAGTCTTCCTTGAATTTAATGAAAACAAAGACACAACATACTCAAACCTATGGGACACTATGAAAGCAGTGCTAAGAGGAAAGTTCATAGCAATAGGTGCCCAAATAAAGAAAACGGAGAAAGCACACATTGGAGACCTAACAGCACACTTGAAAGCTCTAGAAAAAGAAGAAGCTGATTCACCCAGGAGGAGTAGAAGACTGGAAATAATTAAACTGAGGGCTGAAATCAACAAAATAGAAACAGAGAAAACAATCCAAAGAATCAATGAATCAAAAAGCTGGTTCTTGGAGAAAATCAACAAGATTGACAAAACCCCTATCCAAACTAATCAAACGGCAGAGAGAGCACATGCAAATTAATAGGATCAGAAATGAAAAGGGGGATATAACCACAGACACAGAGGAAATTCAGAGAATCATTAGATCTTACTATGAAAGTTTATATGCCACTAAGTTGGAAAATGTAAAAGAAATGGACATTTTTTTTAGATAAGTACCATATACCAAAGTTGAACCAAGAACAGGTGAACAATCTAAATAGACCTGTTAGTCGTGAAGAATTAGAAGCTGTTATCAGAAATCTCCCTGCCAAAAAAAGCCCAGGACCAGATGGTTTCAATGCAGAATTCTACCAGAACTTCCAGGAAGAGCTAATTCCTATACTCCTTAATGTATTCCACAATATAGAAACAGAAGAGTCATTGCCAAACTCCTTTTATGAAGCTACAGTTACCTTAATACCAAA